CTCTCCATGGCTTGTAGATGGGTGTTTCTCCATTTTCTCATATGGCCTTCCTTCTGTGTGTGTCTTGTCCTAATTTCCTCTTCTAAGGACACCAGTCATGTTCGATGAGGTCTTATCTGTATGACGGCATTTTACCTTAATCACCTCTTTAAGAGCCTAATCTCTGAATACTGTCACGTTCTGACATATGGGGGTTTAGGACTGCAACATGATTTTTTTGCGGGAACGGTCACGATTCATTCTCTACATCTGTCTTATCTCTTGTTTCCTCTGGGTCATTTTGTTTATCTGACTTCCGTCTCTTTCTCTCACATATTTTCTTGACCATCTGATAGTCTTTGGGCTGCCCTTGTATATTTTAGTGAAGCTGTGAACAGCTGATTGATTCAGTTTGTGTGATGGCAGAGTTTGTAAGTGGTTTCCATCAGGTAATATGACTGCATGTAGCCTTCCGTTTGTGGGGAGGATCTTTCGTTCCTTTTTTCCTAGGGCTCTTCAATTTCTCCAGAGAATAGTATTCTTGTTACCAGGACAGGGTGGAGCTGGGTGGGGGAGCTTGCACACCTTGCTGACGGTGGTGTAGGAGCAGGGCTCGGAAGAGCCCTGAGGAGGGCCGCAGTTCGCTGTGCAGCTGACATGTAATCACCCCTATTTTGCCTGCTATCCCTGAATACTGGTCCTCTTCTTTTTGATTTCTTCAGAGATGAAACTGCTAATCTGCTGCTTGAGTGCAGGGTGGGGGCCAAGGTATCTAACTCCTCACACTATACAGATACGGCCAACTTACAAGTTCTTTCTGCTCTGAATCTCACCCTCACCTTCTGGGGCATCTGAAGCCTTGAGCACGTGAGGCGTTCTGTAGGGATTCATCAGTGAGGTTTTATTAATTATCGGTTGCCTACTCTATGCTAGGAACTTTCAGTGTCATGACATTAGAACCTAATTTCATCATTTATCTCCATGCCTGCACCTGCTGAATCCCAAATATATGTTAGAAACTGTTCTACTCCCAAAGTTGTTTACGGAAGATATTCTGATTAACTGTAGTCATAAAATTAATTATATTTTATTCTGTGCTTTGCAAGAATTACTCTGCACAGTCTTATGAAAGTTCTGTTAGCTCCCTTTTTACACACATGAAAAAGGAGGTTTAGGACAGAATTAGTAAATCGGAGCATGGGGACTCGGACACTGGTGTATTTGACTCAGAGACTGGACTTGTGCCTGCTCTGCTACACTCAGAACAGGTGGCAGATGCATACTTCTGCCTGTATGTCCACATTCAGGGTTTTGTAGAAATGTCCAGGTATTGATTTCAACTCATTAAAAAACAGTTGCTATTCTAAGTATAATACAAAAATAAAGGGAAACTCAGTACACCTATGGGTATATAAAAAGTTTAATTTTTATGAATATAAATTTATCAGAATATCCTCTGCAAAGAACTTTGGGAGTAGAACAGTTTCTAGCATATATTTGGGATTCAGCAGGTGTAGGCATGGAGGTAAATGGTGACATTAGGTTCTATCTGTTGTGATATTGAGAGTTCCTAGAATCAAGGGCTTAGTTTTCTGTTATTTTTCTGCTACTTGCCTTGCAGTACTAGCTAGAACGTCCTTAGTAAACTTTATGTTTAGGAGATGTTGGCAGACAGGCTAAATTATAGCTAAAAAATTTAGAAGTACATGTTTAAGAATACTTTTTATGTTTTTGTACTGAATGTCTAGCCTTCTTGTATTTTTAGTCATTGCTTATCTCAGTTGGTGCTAATGCTTTTTTTTCTTCCTTTTTTTTAACAGATTAGATTTGTAACTACATTTCGGATTTGCTCCACGAAGCACAATGTCTCGTTCACGACCACCCCCCCTTGTGACAGGCATCTCTCCCAATGAAGGAATACCGTGGACCAAGGTC